ATGACAGTTATCATTTGTAATTAATCTGTATATATGTCTCAATAACCTTTACTTTTACCGCGATAGACCGTGTCATTCCACCTCTTTACTCTCAGATGAACAATTGAATAGCGCCAAGCATGAGTAACATACATCCCTAAAGGACTTTCGCTTTGTTCTGCATGTTGATAGTTGTTTTGTTGTTTCGGTCGATATCAACTTGGATTTCAAAGAAATCAGATACTAACAAGAAGCTAATGGGAACCATGAAAGATATGTTTACCAATTTTATTAGTTCCCACAACTGTAGTATTTGATTCACTTTTTCAATTTGGTAATTGGCAGTCATGAAGCTCTCAGAGGTTACACTTATAATGATTTAGTAATCACTGAAGTCTTTTGCAATATTTGTAAATGCGTACAGTTGGAATTCAGCTTCATCTTTATGAAATCAGGAATGGAATTTTGTCTTTCTCTGTCAATTTTTTAGCTTTACGTTTTAGAAGGTACTTGAATGCATTTTACATGCACAACAATCAATGTTTGTGTAATTGAAACCACAACCATAGGCAGTTTGAAAAGTTTTTGAGGATATATTGACTCTTGATTTGCTTTTCTACCAAGCTTTTTATTTTGATATTACATTATTAAGAAAATGTGTTTGTTTTGAAACTTTAGAAAGTGATGTCCTGTTTTTATGTTCGTTGACATCATTCTGTTAACCAGTATGTACTTGGAGTTGACCTGAATTCCTCACTACATTATGAAATGTACATAATTTTGGAAATCAGATTGTCAAAGAAGGATCCTGTTTAATACTTTGGCATGTTCTACCTTTTATTGCACTTCTGTCCTGTAGTGCTCCAGCAAAACTAAATATTCCCTTTCTTTTTTATGTTTTTGTGTAAAATGTTCCTCACGTGACTTGCTGTATTGCTATGCAGTGATTGCTATGACAAATTAGTCTCATTCCTGCTGTACTGGTTTCGGATCACAATGCCAAAACATGTGAGTTGTTTATTCTAAGCTTTTGTAATTGGTCTTCTCATCTTTTTAATTAGTTTTCCACTGTTTGCTTGTTTATTCATTGTTTTGCTGAAGTGTTGTCCAGAAGTAAAATATTGTTAATTTTCTTTTATTTTGCATGAATTAGCTGTATGGTTTTTTAACATCCTTCCTCTGGACATTAGCATTAAAGGTGGAAAACTATGGTCGAGTAAATTCCCAAGAAGTGGGATTTTCTAAAATCACTTCTCAAAAGGTGGTGTTTTTTAAACCTCTAACCAGAGGGTGAAAAACACATTTAAATGCGTTGTTTCCTCAAAATACACATCCACAGAATGCATTCTTTTATTTATCTAGGCAATTGTTTTCCTTAAAAATTGCATTCACTAATTGCATTGTTTGAAAGACACATTCAATGTATGTGTTGTTTCAGAACTCTCCCTCTTTGACAACTTGTTTTGAAAAATATCACTATTTGGAAATTTACTCTGTTCCTTATTAATAATTTTCCATTTAGTGTTTTAAGTGGCTAGTGGTGTTATGAGGTTTTCAAGAGCATAGAAAGGTTTCTAACTTATCATTGAGTTAATAGTTATCAAGATATACTCTGTATTATTTGATTGCATCCCTCAAAGCCTAATTACTTTGATTAGACTCAGAATAACTGAATCAGAATATTTGTCCTGGTGGCAAGGGAAGGGCTCTTAAATTCCTCCCCACTAATAGGTCCAGGGCTCAAATCCTGGGCTTGGCAATTGGGGGTGGGGGTAGAGGAATGAAGGGGAAAAAGGAAAGACTGAATATGAGTATTTGCATTGTAACATTTTAAGAGGCCATTTCACGATGAGCTCACTCCTTGAGTTCTGATACTTGCTGGAATTTTGCAGTTCATAAAAGAAAAGCAAAACTAAAGAAAACGTAAAGTAGCATTTTATCCTGGTTGGCTTTCTAATCTTTGAATAATAATTTGGAAAAACTTCTTTCGAGTGAAAAATGTGGTCCTGCAGTTGTTCTTGGAACACACTGACACAGTCGAGAGGGTATATAAAAGTGAAAGAAACATTGGCAATCTTCAGCTACACAATGGAATTTTTATCTTCACAGAGGCGTACAACCTCTCTCTCTCTCTCCAAGATTCGTCCTGGATTGCTCTCCAAGTTGACTTCTCAAAACAGCATCAGAGCCTGGAAAGGCAACCAGAACAGTGGAAAATCAAACCCAAGTAAACTCAGATTGAGAATAAACCAATCTCAACTTTAAAACGTGAACTTTGTGACTCCAGAAACTAATTGTTCAGACATTTTTATATGAAAGAATTTTATCTGCTGAAATGCCTTTCAAATTCCTGTGTCCATAATTTTTGTGAGTTGGGTTTCTGTGTCCGAGAGACAAATAGGTAGAGCAAAAGAGGAAGCACGAGAGATAGAGGTACACTTCTTTGATTCTATGTGAAATGTGAAAAAATCAAAGAGATCAATTTTACACCACCGACTTTCTGTAGCACAAAGCCAAGTCTGAATATTCATAAAATCCAGTTCTAACTGGAAAAAGTTATCTGATTAGAGTCTTTCTTTTCCTTCTTAACAAGTTCTCTTATCCTTTTCTCAATGGGGCTGCAGCTGCAAAGGGGGAGGTAGGGGTTGGGGGAACGTATGTGTTTTTTTTTTCAAGTTACTAAAGTTTCAAATTACAAAAGTTTGGCCTGAAGGTTTCACTACATGATTCAGTTTTAATTCTTTGAATAGAATTGATAACTGGCTGTCATTTGGATTCATATTTTTTTTTTTTAAAAAAAAAACCCTAAACTTACTGGCCCAAGGAAGTGGAATTTGTTTACTTATGGAATCTGTTTCAGTTTTGTGAAATGGTTTCCATGTCTGACCTCCCAGTGTGATGGTTTGTTTCATATATTTTGTTTCCACTGCTTTTTGAATCCCCTGATCTAACCTCACTCTAATAAACTATAATGTATCTTTCCTTTTCCTGTTTTATGCCTTTTCAGTCATTTTAAGATTGGCATAGTTCCAAATGTACAAGCCTTTTTTTTTTTTTTTTTCAAACTTCAAATTCTTTGCCCTTTTGAGATAATTAATCATGAACATCTATATTTCAGATGCACTCCTCTAGATGTAGCCACTAATACTGAAATTGCATGAATCTGTTCCACTTTTGTATATCTTTTGTAGTTTCTATCCCCAGAAGCTTCTCAAAGGGAGGACTGCTGGTACGGCTATGCATGTAGGACGCAGCATCACAATGAAGAGCACGCTCGCAAGAGAAATCATGTCTGCCGTCCAACAAGGGGCAGTCACAGATGAATGTGTCAAGTTTCAAACTCTGCTTCATGTTTTGCCATCTTAGACGCTAGAAATGTATATATTACAATGTTTTGCTGCTTCTGTTTCTTTCTCGACCTGTTATTGCCATATTTATGATTCATTTGTAGCAGTTATTCGCAACGCTTAAGAGAAAATAAGCAAAAATAGCTGGTAAAACCTCGGTTTTTTTTTTTTTTTTTTTTTTTTTAACATGTGGCAAACCCCGTTTATGGGGGACAGATGCTAGTCCTATATTTTATTAATATTAAAATGTAAAAAGATTAGGAGGGGCACATCAACCTTATCTCTAGTACAAACCCTTGGGTGTGATGCCTAAGGTTTCTAGGAGTGATTTTTAGAGTTCCTAATCTGATCTCCTTCTTGCGTGTCTTTTCTGTGAATTTCATCATGTTCTCTCTTCTAAGTCTTTATGATCTTTTACAACTATGAACTTTGTAGATTTTTTTTTGTACGATTTTTAAACCGAGAATCAATTCTACAATCTGTTGGATCTAACATCAGCTTCTGCTGCATTATCTACATCATTGAATTTTTATGATGTGTCCTGCTAATATTAATTAACTGTACGGACCATTGAGCTAAAGAAGCGAGGGGAAATGTGGTGAGTGGGAAGAAAAAAATATCTTGGCATTTGCCTTATTATAGTGGCATCAGCAATTTGAAAAAAAAATTATAAACAATTTTAGTTTTTCCCTAGACATTGAAATAGTTTGCAGCATCTTTAACATATGAAGAACTCGTAAAGTTCTTTACAATTACTTGTTTTCAGGGAGACTATCTACTGTATTTGAGTGTCATGGTGTGTTATTAAGTATTACAAATGAATGCTCAGTCTTAAAGTGTCTTCATTGTTTTCCTATTAAACAAAATTATTGAACTAAAAGGGCATTTTGTTTGATATTATTAAAGCATTTATAGTGTTATGCTAACAAAGAAATAGTTGTAATGAATGTGCCATCAACAATTTGCGGCAAATGGTAGCTTGGTCTCTTGTTTTCTTAAGTCATCAATGAACGTGGTATTCGGATGCAATTTGCTTCCTCGAGTTTATCAGGTTAGTAGGGGAAATTGCTGGAACAAGAGGAAGCCAGTAGATTCATAGACCTATATGATTATACTTTTCTAGAGGTAGAGATTATGATGACAAGACTTATATAGCATATACTGGTGCTATGTATTCTCATTTGTTATCTCTCCTTATTATCTGTGCTAGCGATTTGGCAGGGCCACGATCACTGTATCATAAAGTGACAGTATTGCATGGTGAAATTTTGACTTAATCCTTTTCTTTTGGATCATGAAATCTGCAGTTTTTTAGCCTTTTGGAGCGTCTATATGTTTATTGAGTTAAAATTACGCCGAGCTTGACTTTTGCCTTGCACTTATCTTTCAGGTCTGTCCTGCTTCGTCCTTGTTCATCTTGATGAAGACTGTGAGTTCAGCTCCCTAGTTTCAAATGTTAATGCTTATAATTACATCTTTATCAACCTATTAATTTTTTTTTTTATGCATCTGAACTTCCGCCTGCAGACTTGTCTGAGTGAGGGTAAGGGTTATCATTTCCCACCCTGCCACATGCTAAACATAGGTGGTTTTCAGCTATTATTCGACTGCCCTTTAGACCTTTCTGCTCTATCGGTCTTCTCTCCTCTTCCTACGAATTTGTCTAGCTTATTGATGAATCTGTTGGTGAATGTACGTGTGAGGCTTCTTCAATTTCAGATTGTGGCTGGAAAAGGAAGCAAAAAGTAGATAAATCTCTTGACACAAGCAGTTTAATACATGCCGAACCTTGTTACAAAACTGTGAAGAGTTTGAAACTCTGGAATATTTCATTCATTGATGTTGTACTGATCTCTAGTCCAGTGGGCATGCTAGGATTACCATTTCTGACCAGAAACAGAATTTTTCTGCTAAGGTGAATAAGAATGACATGCTTTTACATTTTGACGTCTTAACTCTCATATTTGCTAGAATTCATTGTGACTGATTTCCTTTTTATAATCGGGTCAGATATATGCTACTGAAGCTACTGCAAGACTTGGACAGCTTATGATGGAGGACCTTGTTAAAATGCATAATGAAATCAGGCAATTCTATGGGCCTGAAGAGTCTACTTGCCCAGAATGGATGAAATGGGATGAGGTGGAATTGCTTCCATCTGCAATTAGAGAGATACTTTGGGGCAGAGATGGAGACCTTTGTGGTTGGATGCCATTGTACAGGTAATGCTACTTAATATATACCATCAATGTTATTTGAGCTGATTCATCAATTGCAAAGTTATAGACTGGTGATTGTACTCTCTTTTTGAATTGGGGATGTCAATCTAGACTGGACATTTCCCTGTAATTGCACTGTGGATTTGGGGACTTGAGGTTGCAATAATTTCTGCTTCTCAGTGTCGCTGATGTGAAGGGTTGCATGCAAAATGTTCAATCCCTAAAATATGCTGAAGAAGCCTGCTACAACGGCACCTTGTTAATAAGGGCATTCAGCTCTGGTTTAGATATAGGCACTTGTAACTGGAGTATTTCTAGTCCAAAACAAAGGATTGCATATCTTTCAAGCTCCATTTTTGCATCAGCAACAGCAACAGAAATTTGACTACAATCCTCTGCGTGGAAGTGATGTGATATTATTCTCAGATTCGACAGTATGTGATGCACTAGACAAGCTTGAGAATGAAGATGATGGATTCAATCCAGCGATAAAAAAGCTTCAAAGTTCAGGTAACTCAAATTTACTTTCTTTTTCAAACTGTGTTCTTTGTGAGATGCTCAAATCATCCTAAATAACTGCACTTTATTGCAACTAAAATTATGGGTCTAGATTTTGTTGTCTCTAGTTTCACGTGATTCACTCATATGGTAAAATCCAGGGCACTGACAATTTCCATTTGCAGTTCAAAAGATGATGACAAAGAAAGCTATACTGAATTTTTGCAAAACAAGGACAAGTTTGCAGAGGAGTTGGAGAAATTGGCTTTCCTATGCTCATGTTCTTTGGACTCTGTTAAAGCTGGAGGCTCAGTTCTGATTCCCATTGCACGGCTTGGAGTCCTTTTGCAACTATTAGAATGTATAACATTGTCTCTGCAGTCATCAGACTTGAAGGTATTTCCACTTCTCATTTTATAGTAAGGAAACAGGAGTTGCTTTTTAGAGATACGTTCATCTGAATAATGTTTCTGAGAAGGTTGATTGCACTTGATTCTAGATCTCTGTTTAGAAGAGTATCTTAAATAATGTAGTTGTATTCTCTGTTTCACCTTTATAGGCTCTTGGCATTGAAAAATGAGGGTTTAAGATACAACTAATTTGTTGGTTGATTAACTGCATGTTTCACGTCTATGTATGAGGAGAGAAAAGTTTTAGTTTTGTACGGCAATTGCTAATAGATTTTGGTGCCAACGTGGAGAATGAATCTTTAAGTGATTTTGATGGTTGTTTCTTTTACTATTTATTGTTATGCAAACAATTATCAAGATGCAGATTTATGGCTAAACTGTTACTGGGAGCTGCAAAATGTCAAATCTATTTATGAAGTTCTGGTACTGTGGACATGCTTGTGCAAATGCTAATACATTTCTTTCAGGTTCCCATCTATATTATTTCTTCTGTTGCTGAAGAGTTAGTTGCTTTTTTAAATGTTATACCTGAATGGTTATGCAAGCAGCGGCAGGACAAGGTATTTCAGTTCAATATATGTTTTGAAAACTGCTTATATTCATGTAAAGAACAATCAAACTGTGTTTTACCTCCCTCCCTCTATTTATCTGTGCAGTTTTATTCTGGTCAACCACTGTTTGCTTTCATGGATCTCTTAAATGAGAAGCGGCTCTTTTTGTTCCCTGTACTTCATTCACCCGAGTTACTGTAAGATACTTCTTCTTTAGATGCTTAAAGCAGTATCTATGTTGGAAATGTTGAAGTTCAGTTGTCAAACTGAAACATCTTGGAGTTCTTTCAATAAGATGCTCTGCAAGGATACGGTCCATGTTTTAATGAGGATGGCACTATTGGAGCTGCCCTTACTCAAACTTCTCTCTCTCTCTCTCTCTCTCTCTCTTGTGAATAGGTCAATTTGGCATGAACCCTGTATAGTAATTTGTCCTCATTGGAGTTTACGGATTGGACCTGCTGTCCATTTGCTCCAACATTGGTGTGGTGATAAAAATTCTTTACTTGTAATGGAGGTGCAGCTTCGATTTCTTAGTCATCTGACCTTCTGTTACTGATTTGCCAAGTAGGATCGTTACTTTGTCTGATTTTTTTCTTTTCCCTTCTTTGTGAATGATGTGCAGGAAGGATTCAATGCAAATTTGGCCTTCTTGCCTTTCAAGTCAATGGAAATAAAAGTCCTTCAGTGCTCGTTTCTTTCTGGAATGAAGTAGGGAATACTTTATTTGATTGTGTTGCTTAACTAAGGGATAAACAATCTCTTGCGCTGCAAGTTCTTGATTTTTCCCCACCTATATTTATGGGTCAGAAGTTTTGCATTGGTGGTTCAGCTGCAGAATAGATGATCTTAATGTTTGTTTGGTTGAATAAGAGGCATTTTCAGATGAACATAAATGGGAGTTCTTAAATTTCTGTAGGGATAATTTTGAATAGCAAAATTGGAACTTCAAGTTGGCTAAATATTTGCCTCAACTTCATGTTTCATTATCACATATGTCTAAGGTTCATTCCCCTGATTATTGAATTACATGTCTGATTTGTATTTCTTTTGGCCTTACAGTTTCCGGAAAGCTGAATTTTTACTCAAACTGTTGAAGCCTAAATATGTGCTGGTAAACTCAAGACCTTTATTTGCTCTCTGTTTTCTTCTGCTTCAGGAATGCCTCCTTTGGTGCCTAATAAATCTTATTCTAGCATTTTGACTACTGTAATTTTCCTGCTGGAGACAGTTCCCTGAGAAATTGAAGCAGGGCAAAAGCTTTGTGAATCAGTCATTTTCAGTCATTTACTACCTTGAAAATGAGACAGTGAAAGTACCTAAGTTGAAGGATAGTTCAGAATTAGACATTGGTATAGACTTGGCTTGTCAGCTCGGTTATACAAAACTGGAAAAGGAAGAAATGAGTATTGCTCGATTGAAAGGAGAGCTCCTTGTGGAACAAGGCAAAAATGTATTGTTTAGTGGAAAGGAGTATGCTGGTTCCTCAGAAACCAGGCCGCTGTTGTACTTGGGTGGGGTAAACTTGGAGAATTTTCTGACGACCTTGCAAAGCATGGGTATTAATGCAACAGTTGAAGAGGCCATGACCACTGATGGCTCAGATAAGACATCTCTTGTGCATATTTTGGGGCCTAAAAAAGCCTTGATAGAAGTCACAGCAGCACGTACAATTGTTAGCACTGATGATGAGTATTTGTCTGCTCTTATATCTAAAGCCATATGTAACATTTTGAATATTGTTTAATAGAGCATTGCCCTTTATTTTGTTTCTAAATTTGTTCATTTTATTTCAGCTGTTATGAGCTTCTACTTTGGTGTGAAAACTATAATCTCTACTGTACTGCTAACCAACCAGGAATTCAACTTTTTCAAATCGAATTTTTTTTTTTTTCGGGATAATCTAGTTTCACCACCCTCCCTTGAGGTTCTAAAAATATCACTTACCTCCTCTACCAATTATTGGAGCCCAACGCTTGCGTCATAATGGCTAAATAACTCTATTACCCTTATAATTTAGGATAATTACAAATATATGTGAAGGAAAAAGAGTTAAATGTTTGCTTACTACATTAATCATAATTTGAATTGTAAAATGTTAATAAATTTGCCATCCAAAAGTAGAGCCAATATTAGGTTAATCTTTTTTAATTTTTATATACTTGACAAATAAAAGAAATCAAACGTAATGTAGTTGATAAATTAAAGGATTTAGACATGAGAAATAATTAAGATATTTACAAACTAAATTAACCATAATTTGAAATGTAAAAAAGAAAATCTAATTTGGCATCTAAAAATGGATCCAATTCTAGGCATCCTTTTTTCAATTTATGTACTTCATAATTAAAGGAATCAAATATAAATAGTAAGAATCTTATAATTGTGGTGAGAGTAAGAATCTTAAGGTATGGAAAAAAATTGTTTTGTTAACTTTTGAAAGATGTTATTTTTCGTTATGAATGATGGAAATTTTTTATTGACCACGTGTCGTAATGGCCCCATAAGTAAATTAACATCAAATATTCAATCTAACTAGTATAATAGTTGAGTGGCACTTTTGGCATAAATAAATCTTCTCACACCTTAAATTAATTTTTTTATTATTTGTGTTTTTTGAATTGGGCTAAATTGTTATAAGAAAATTGGTTTCAAGAGAAATTAGTGATATTTTTAGAACCTCAGGGGAGGGCAGTGAAACTGTCAAAAATCTCAGGGAAGTTTCTAAAATTATCCCTTTTTTTTTCTACGTGTTTTCCACCCTCTTTCCTAACTCTCCTCTTTGACACAGGAAGATGGATGATACATATATTCTCTATTGGTAAACTATTATATAAAGCAAAATCTAATAGTATTTCTTCCTCAAAATCAAGCAAAGGATATTGTTCAAAAAATAGAATTACCTAGCCATGTATTTTTGGCAGAAGATTAGCATTGGGGATGACTTCCTAAATACAAGTTGAGACAACCATGTAGACCACTTTGATTGCTGTATTATTGCAAAAACGACTAAATTTGTTCAATTCTGATAATGGCATGGTGGATGCAAATTTTTTTTTAACTTATTTACTTTTGAAAAAAGCCCACTGGGTGCTGATGAGAAATAGGAAGTGCACAAATATGCTCAAATGATTGACGTCAAACAAGATTTCAAGGAGAAATGCAGTTTTACAGTATTAGTCCCTCATATTTAGCTTATGTGCAGAATTGATGCCTAATCTTTCGGCTACAACAAATCCGGTTAAACAAGCTTCTAATTTTAGGCAAATCAAGACAATTGATGAAAATGGAAGGATGCCTAAAGGGTCAAAATCAAATTTATGTTGGTCAAGAGTCTCGACTTAATGTTTTAGTCCTCAATGTTTGAAGTTGATTTCAATATGAGCCTAGTATGTTTTAGATGGTGATTACTTTAATTATTGCGTAAATAGATTTTCTAATAAAAATTGTAATTTGGTTATTTTGAAAGGATTGTTATTTAATGTCTAACATGATCAATTTCTTCATGTCCCTATTTCAAATAATCTTTAGAATAACTTGTCATGCTATGCCACTTTTATTTACATAAAGTGCACTAGATATGATACAAACGTCACCAACCTATGACGAATTGAACAAGAACGAAAATTGACTCAAGAACAAGGATATAACTTGATACCTTCAACCAACTCTAATACCAGCTGATACGAACTCGATCTAACAAGAATCTGTCTTAAAGAACCAAGTCAATCAGGCAGTGGAAGGATCTATTTTGACCAAATTTTGAAACACCACAAGTGGATCAATCAGGCAGAGAATCCGTTTCTAAAAACCTAGTGGATTAATTATTGGTTTGAAAGAATAAGATGACGTGATCATCTTGCCTTGAACACCACAAGTATCCAAACTAAATTTAATACATGTCAAAAAGAACCTCACGTTCTATCAAGAAACTCCATAACAGGAGAACAACTCACTTTTATTAATTCATCTCTCCTAGTGTCTTACAATGGAATAGAAGAAACCTATTTATAACTAAAATCTAAACTACTAAGACTAACTCAATTTTGTAAGGCTCGAAAACAACCCTTTTCTAGGCGACCACACAATGGAGCAGTTGATAAGAAAGCACAAGTGCTTGTGAGTAGAAGAGATAAACAATTTAAAGATCATAAATGTAACAATAAGTAAAAGGAAAGAATTGCAAACCAATTAACTACCCAACTCCTCTTGAGCTTCAAACAAGCTACTTCAAATTGATGAATTACAATCACTCTTGTGTACAAAGGAAGGTTCACCTCCTCCTTGCCCCGAACTCCCTCGGTCAAGCCAGGACGTTTTACTATCCCTCAGGACAACCCTCACAGAGCTACACTCATGAAGTATTCACTCACAAATGAAAAGCTTACAATGAACCTCACACCACTAAGACTACAAATCTTCTTTGAAGAGTATTTTCTCACTAAAATCTCTCTAGATCTTTTGTATCTTCAGTGTGCCAAAGTTGTTTTAAGTATCTGACCAACCACTATTTATATAGGACCAAGAAAGTGTCTCATTAATACTTCCAACGGATAGAAAGTAGCTGAACAGTCAACTATCCGTTGGCAGTATCGGACGTCTGATAGCCCTGTTTTATGCGTCCGACAGCATGCAGAGAGTTTAAGACTTTTTCTTCAATTCTTTCGGACGTCCGAAAATACTTAATGGTTGTCGGACGTCTGATACAGTCTTTTTGAGCGTCCGACAGCTTCAGCATACTTTGTCTTCTTTCAATTGCACTTGATCTTTGGAACTGATTTGCTTCATAACTGAATAGATCTTTGAAGAGATATTAGTAACATCCATTTGTTTTGTAAACATCAAAAGATAGGGATCAAGATCAACATTCTCCCCCTTTTTGATGATGACAAAACAATGGATGGAAGGAAGGAAAAAGATTGAGCATATGAGCATAAACTCCCCCTCACTCATTGCAACCAAACTTATAATTTCAGAATAACTCCCCTAACACATAGCATCCATTTCTCCCCCTTTTTGTCATCATAAGATGAGAGTAATAACCAGCAACCATAATCCAGCAACAATAACAGAGTATAAAAACAGAAAAATGACAGCAATCACCAACATTTCACAGAGAATTTGATATCAAAAGAAGTATCAACATATGACAGAGAGTTTTAACAAAGCAAATCATCTTTAGATCAGAATTGTTCTTTTCTCTCCCTTTTAGACATCATACAGATTCAGAAAAATTCAAAAAACTCATATCAAAGTATTAGAAATATCAAAAAAATATTATGAACAAGAATCACTGCAATGATTAACAAAGTCTCCTACTTGTTAAAGTTAACATCATGTCTAACTATCTACATGCATTTCATACCTCTTCTCATGTTCTTTCTAACATAACAATCACTTTTCATATGACCTTTTTGACAACAGAAATTACACATCATCAAGGAGTTATTTACATGAACAGGTTTAATAAATCTCACTTGTCTTCTCTTATAAATAGCAAATTCGTTGGAATTAGAATTCAACCTATTTTTTGAAAACAGACTTGTTTCTTGTGTTTAAGCAACTCATTTAGACCATCCATTCTTCTTTTCAAATCACCTTGTTCCTTTTTGAACAATTCACAAAGTTTTGCTTTTCTATCAAGCTCAAAGTGTAAAGCAGTCTCACTCTTTTTGAAGTAATCATTTTCAGCTTTCAACTTTTTATTTTGTTAAAAAAGATTTGCATTATCTCGAAGCACAAAATTAATTTTCTGTTTTAACTCCTTGTTTCTAGCATAAGATTCTTTCAAACTATCATGCAATTTTATAATGAAAGATTCAAGATCATCATCAGTTTCATCATCACTTTCAAATTGAGAGTTAGAAGATGTTACCTCGTCATTTCCAATAGCCATAAAAGTCAATTGAGCAGATTCTTCTTCCTCTTCAATATCACCATCGGAGTTGCACTCATTCCATGTGAACTGGAAGTTATTGAATCTTGATTTTCTTTCACCTTTTCTCTTCTTCATTGGACACTCACTTGCGTAGTGTCCAGGTTGGCCGCATTCAAAGCACTTATCAGTTTACTTTTTGCTGAACTCTAGCTTCCCTTTGTTTCTTGAGTTGTTGAACTGATTTGGGAATGAATTGCTAGATCCATCTTTTCTGAATTTTCTCTTGTTGAGTATTTGTTTGAAACTTCTTGTGATGAGTGCAATATCATTGTCATCACCTTCTGCATCTTCTTCATCTAGGGAGGCAGAATCATCTTCATCTTGAGATGCCTTTAGAGCAATGCTCCTTCTTACTTTCGCATCCTCATCCTCTTGCATTTTAAGCTTCAGTTCATAAGATGTTAGAGAATTAATAAGAGATTCAATAGGCATGGTATTCAAATCTTTAGCCTCCTCAATAGCAGTCACTTTATTTTCCCAATCATTGGACAAGGCATTCAGGATTTTTCTATTTTTCTCACCAAGAGAATATTCTTTTTCTAGCACCTCTAAATCCTTAATGAGGTCATTGAATCTACAATACATCTTATCAATGTTTTCATGAGGTTGCATCTTGAAAGATTCATACTTTGTAACTAGAATGGACTTCTTTTGTTCTCTAACATTCTCACTGCCTTCATGAATTTCTCTCAGTTTATCCCAAATTTCTTGGCTGACTTGCAGCCCTTGACTCTAATAGATTCATTTGAGTCTAAAGCACAAAATAACACATTCATGGCTTTTGCATTTAAAGTGAGATGAGCTCTATCCGCAGCAGTCAGTTCACTTCTTGTTTTCGG